CTTTCCGCCATATAGATGATGTCATATCACTAAACAATTCAACGTTTGGTTACTATGTTGAACGCATCTTTTCCATCGAAATTGAAATAAAGGATACAACAGATACAATTAACTCTGCCTCATGTCTTGACTTACATATAGAAATTAACAATAAAAGAGGGACGAAAGATACCAGAAGGACAGTCAAACTCATAGATCGAAAACAAACTGACAACGCCATGGCCAAAAATAAAAAGACAAACAGACAAATAATAGTACAGGTGACACAACATAGAAAACCAAAGACTAAGAAACACGAAAAAAAGGTTGGTTGAGAATAAAACTCCACGACAAAAGAGATGATCTTAGCTTCCCAATTGTGAACTTTCCATTTCTATGTAGCAACAGTCCGGCAGCGACTGCATATTAAGTATACATAAACCCCAATTGATACAATATTCCCGGGATTGACTTTCTTATTATAATTTCTTTGATGGAGGGTTGCTGCTCACATCGAAGCTATAAAACTAAGAGCTTAAAACGGCGAAGTTAAAATAATCTCTTCGAAATTCTAAGGACACCAGCACGAGTTGGTAAACCAAAATGGAATATCTGTTTCATGGATATGAGAGATTTAGCTAGCTCTAAAACAAGGTTTAATCCACCAATTTAAACATACAGAAATGTCTGTACAAAGTCAGGAATATGATAGTTGTTTTCCGTTCGTTTGATGTGTTTGTGCTTTTGATTTTGACATTTGATAAGGAACCTTCCGATTTTAATTTTCCTTAGAGTTCAGTTTTTTGTTGTTTCAATTTTTTCCAATCGTCGTGGCTACAATCCCGTCCTCGAATATTCCCCGAATATAACCTACATTTTTGACATACCACCGGATTTATGCTTATATTAGCAACATGACAGGTGCCAAATGTGTCTCAAGGATCTGCTTACTTTTCTAGAGCACCTGAGATCATCGCCGGTTCGAGGTAGGGTTCCTATTGCTCAGAATTAAATTTTCTATGTTGAAATGTGTGTCTTTTGTTTTTTGTCTTTTTTTTTTGCCATGGCATTTTCAGTTTATTTTGGACTTTGAATGTCCCTTTGGTATCTGTCTTTATTACACAAAAGTACACAAGTAAGTTTTCTAATTGTCTACCATTCTTTTTAGATATTTTGTGGAAATATTTAAAATGAAGATTGTAATTTCCTATGACAAAAAGCCGTTTTTTTATGTTCGTCAAATTGCAAGCAGTTTATAGACATCACTGAAACAATTGAATGTACTGTCTAGATTACTGCTAGGTTAAACCATCACAGTTTGTATCTTGTACAGGGTTGACAAAAACCCGGGTTTTATGAGTATTGCATAGCCCAGTGGAAAATACTGGGAAAATCCGGGTTTTACTGGGTTTAAGCGGGTAATACTGGGCAATACTGGGTAATATGAAATACTGGCCAGAATTTTAAAGATATTCATAGAAATAAGACATAGGATTTTAATTTATAAATAAGACATGTAATACCAGTGTATAAATCTAAGAAAGTATTGTTCTAGCAAATCTGAGACAAGTGTACACGAAGACACATAGGACAAATGGGAAAAGCTTTTCTCAATAATCCACCTATAAATCTATTATATTACCATTCTGTCTAGATTGGTCAAACTGTTAACATAAAGCCTAAGAATTCAATTTGTTTGTTTCTCATAATATATTTGAAACAAACAAATTGAATTCTTTGAATATTTATAATTAACAATTATGCAATGTAAGGGAAATTACTTTTAAACAATTTCTGTTTATTGCTTAAAATGCTTACTAAGTTTCTGCCAAATTATTCATATGCACATCACTAATTGATAAGTAATTATTCATATTAGAACACAGATTTGGAATATTGAAACAAAGCTTGGTAATTAACAAGGTATCCTAAAATTTGCAAATCTTGTATTCCGCCTACATTGAATAAGTGGAGAAAAGGAAAAAAATCTACTTTCAATCCTCTACAATGACTCACAATGGTTATCTGTATGAAAAGGATATATTTAGCTATTATACTATGAAACTACAACAAGTCTTTACTATTTTGTGTAAAAATAAGCTTTAAAAATCATATTGCCCAGTATTGTTCAGTATTACCCGTTTCAGTGAGTATAGCCAAGCCCGGGAAAACCTGGGTTTTTCCACCCGGACTTTCCCACACGAGTTATACTTTGCCAACCCTGATCTTGTATCTACAAATTCAATTCACAGTAATTTAGTTTAGTAGATATTCCGTGATAACTTATTGAAAGTCATCTGATATATAGGTACATACTTTAAAAAAAATGTTGATCATAGCTTAGTTTAGGTCAAATAAAAAAATTCAATATGCAGACATATTACAATACTATCTAAAAATAATAATAAAACGTGGTCATAAACTTGACTAGAGAAATTTAATTTGAAATTTAAAAATCAGTTAAATATAATTCGAAACACATTAAAACGATTTGAGGTCATTATTCATGCAAATATATGCAGCTGTGTATACACCATAAAAATTATTAAATACCTATACAGTCAACACATGTCTTTTGGTATATCTAATTAACATATCACTACAGAGAATTTATGGAATAAAGTTGAAGATAGATACGTACCAATTATCGGATTTTTTTGCATATTGATATTGTACTGCGAATCACAGTATAAAGCTCACGAGTTCAAACAGGCCTTATAGTATGTCGAGCAGCTGGTAGTTTTTAATATAAACACACACACACATAGATAATCGATTTATCGGGTTGTATTTGCTCATTATGCTAATAGAAATTAGTGTTCTCTTTGTTTCACCAGCAAAACAGAAGATGACTTGATAAGTTCGGGTCAGGCCAATCAATGTCTGTTCATATATCAAGATATCGGTGATATGTCCGGGTCAACCTATTTGACGTTAGAAATAAAGGCAACAGTAATATACCGCTGTTCGAAACTCATAAATCGATAGAGATAAAAACAAATCCGGGTTACAAACTAAAACTAAGGGAAACGCATCAAATATAAGAGGAGAACAACGACACAACAAAAACACAACATTAAAATGTAACACACACAGAAACGAACTATAATATAACAATGGCCATTTTCCTGACTTGGTACAGGACATTTTAAGAAAAAAATGGTGGGTTGAACCTGGTTTTGTGGCATGCCAAACCTCCCGCAGATCTAAATTTAAGTTCGCAAATAAGCTAAGTAACACATACATACAAAGACACGTTTTCAATTAATAATGTATCCACCATTATTCTTAGATTTTCTTTGGAAAAAATCAAAAACAAAATTGTAATCACATATGGGGAAAAAACAGTCGTTTGTACAAATTATAACTAGTTAATACAAATAGCAGATACAATAAAAGGTCCTATTCAGAAAACTGCCTAAGTTAATTGACCAAAATTTGTATCTACAAATTTGACTCACAGTGCTGCATTTGCTGGCAGTATTGATTTTCATTAGTATGACAAAATTATGATCATAATTAAGTTTAGGGCTGAATTTCAAATTAAAAATGCAGAAGTACTACAATACTATTTAAAGAAAAACGTGGTCATAAACGTGACTGTATGATTTAATTTGAAATTAATGTATCAGCGTTATCTATGTCGTTGTGTTATTTTTCAACAACAAACTATATCTAACAAGACCGTTAAGTTCAACAGTGTTTTAAGGGCTGACATATTACGAGCAGCTATTTTTCAATCTTCTTTAAACAACCTTTGTGTTACGAAAGCGTAATAAAAATCCTTTTTTTCTCTCTACCCTTTAATATCATGTCTGTAGGTTTGAAAATCTTGTTTTTTCTCTCGTTTGACCCTCAACACACACACATATTTTAAAGACATTGTACACGATGGTTTTCAGAAACATGAACGACGCAGTTTTTCAAAAGCATTGACAACAAAGCGATGTAAACTTAACACTTAACACAAAAAACTAAACCCAGCTACACATTACAAGTTAGCAAGGGGACAGGTAATTTGCAAACATATGATACATATTTAAAAAAAAATTAAGATGAATGTTGAATGATACTCTACATTGAGAAGTAATCTTTGTCGCATAAAGACACGGATTCAAGAACACATCTGCAACCAATTTACATCAAGAGTAGTTGTACAGATACTGTATATCTTTCAAAATACAATAGAGTTACATTTAACAAATTACGTAAATGTTTTTTATTAGTTTGATTGATAGCAAAAAAAAAATATAGTAGATAGAAAATCAAATTGACAAAATAAACCATTACCAATAAATTTTGACATTTTTATGTTTGTATGCATATGAAAACATTAGAAAGATTTTAATGTTTTTAAACGATGCTATACAAACAAAAAGTGAGACACACATTGAAGACAAAACTATGCAAAAAGGCATAAAACATCGTGATACTCTTTACTTAAGTTTTAAAGCTCCCACATAATGGGAATTACGTATTACATTTGAAGCAGACGTTGAATTGAAAAACAAACACAAGAACACACACACAAATTTATACACACAATGCCCCCAAAATAACCAACAAAAAAAAAAGTAAACAATGTATTGAAAATTTGCAAAGTTTATTTGACAAAGGTGTATGTAGGCACCCTGGTTTACTTATTTCATATTGAATGATTAAAATAAAAAATTGATTATATTTCCGGACATGTAAAATACTCTTTTATCATTTTTGTTTTAGTACCGCTAAAACCAAGATGTCTTTTTTACATTTAAATTGAAACTGTAAATGTACAGTTTAGAATCATCAATTCTACATCCAGTGTTTGTTTTCCTTGCATCGCTTTCTCGCTTTCTGACATGCTGTTGTCCGTTTTCACACATGTTACACATTTACAGGCTATTGGGAATCAATTTTATCATTATTTTTAAAGTGGTATCAATTGCTTGTCATACATGCAAAAAATATCAAAAACACCACGTGACTCTGCTCAATAGTTTCACATTTCTGCTATTTTATACACATTTTACCTGTTCCTTTTAAGGTATGAGGATGATATTATTATTCAATTGAATGAAAATAATCTCCAATTTAACGATGTTGTCCTACAAGCAAGAAGAGCTTTTTTTATGATTTACATTAAACGCTTCCATGGATTATCAAGATCAAGGTAAGGGATATCTTTTATTTTTTTCATTTAATGAATTAACAAGCAATCAGTTTTATCGTCATATGGAACGGGGATCCAATTATTTCCCCAATTACTTTAATGCATTTTTATTCAAATTGAGGGGCAGATATTTTATTCCTTATATAAGATTGCAAAATTTCAGTTACTTTCTCATAGTAGTAGCCCCTTCATGGTTTTTTAGGAGATTTTTTGGAGGGTCAAGGCCGGCATTTATGAGAGCAATACTGTTTTGAGTATTAATATGGTCATTTTATTAACTTCCTGGTTAAAATCGAAAATAAAATGAACATTTACTCAGACAATCATCCACCCTATACATTTCAGAATCACTTCAAATTTAGAAGAAGTTGAAAGTTTAATGAATACCCTTTAGATATACTACAAATTTAAGCATCTTTACATAATTTTTATCTCAGTACAATATCCCATCTAAAAGATGGTAGATTTATTAAGGGTCTTCATTCGTGGGTACTGGACTGGTATCCTGTAACTGGGATCATATTCCATATGTCGATGAATGGTTTGCTTAATGTATGTTGAAAGACATACCATACAGTTTTGATCCTATGATGATTTATTAACGAAATGTGCATCCATTGTTTTTTTTTTAATCTAGTCAAAATAAGTAAGTAAAATATACCCTAATATACTATTTTTAGATATAAATGATGTCGAAATCTTAGACATGTACGAAAATTTCCTGAACATTTCTATTCATTGGATAGACAAACTTCCATTTTAGTTTCAAAAGAGAAACACTCAGGTATTTCTGTAAAAACATTTAGAATATATTCTATTCATAAGTTTGTTCTAAATTTGTGTAACAATTCTTTTGAAATAATTGCTTTTATCAAATTTCCAAAACTTCAGAGAAAAAAATATCGGCATTTTTTTTGCTGTATCTTTACATGTATCTCACTTGAAAAAAAAAATATACTAGGTAGTTTTGTTTATAAAATTTCTACAAGTAATCTTCATACATAATCAAGCCGAAAGTTATTTTGAAAAAGAAAGGGTCCATAAAATCGTTTTCAATCTAATGTTTAAATCATTCGATAACTGCGATTTTTCCATATTTGTAACAATTTGAAGTCGCCAAAAATTGCATTTTATGGACGCAATTACCAGTTGGTTGACCGTTAAGTGAACAAAGTTTTATACAGGTAAGTTATGATTTTAAAAATATAATCCTTGTAGTTGGACGTTTTATATTCGCTCCCTTGTGTGGCCATCAATAAAACAAACACCCATATGAAATATTCGTTCGCTCTATTTCAAATGATAGCTACGCTCATTTGTTCTGTTTATTTTTGATAAACCGCTAAACAAAGGTCAACACATCTACCCCGTCTATGCAAATTCATATATTTACGACATTGTGATTTTTGTAGCATGTATCGGATTTCATTTTAAATGCCTTTTAGAATTTAAAAATAAACCTCGGGTTTTTTATTTTTTTTTTCAATATAAAATAAAAATATTTTGAGATTAGTATGCATAGCATTATGATAGATTGTGTTGATATCATATTGCCGTTTAAATCGCGTTTAGATTGCGTGCATTGTGGAAATGTTTAAGATTTCAGATCCTTAGTTTTTAATACTCGTAGTAGAAATTTACAGAACAAAATTAAAACAAAAGTCACAAAAAAACGATTTGAATTTGTTTATGGCTTGTTTGATGAAGTTCATATTGATGGAATATATTTGTTGCTGGCAAAGTAAAAGAGAACTTTCATTTTGTTCTAATCCATTTACATTAATATATCTTGTGTCAATACTATAAGTGATTTCTCAAACGTTTATCTCGTGATTTGAAACGGTTACTTAAGTACCACATCACGTGACGAAAATAGGTAGTTATAATTTCATGCGACTGAACCACATTCTGGATTTAATTCCACCAGGAACGTTTAAACCCAAACTTTAAAAGACAAGGGTATATAGAGCATGCATACGTGAGCAGTTATATAGCCAAATTCGTAATTAAGAGAATAGCCAAGTTCTGAAAGATCTAATCGTGTATATAATTGTTATTATGTATCATAAGTGTTGATTAAACTATGAGTGTCTCCTTTGCATACTAGATTAAGTTAAGTCTGCCTCATATCTTGACTTGCATCTAGAAATTGACAATGAGAGTCGGTTGAAAACAAAACTTAACGACAAAAGAGATGATTTCAGCTTCCCAATTGTGAACTTTCCATTTCTGTGTACCAACATTCAAGCAGCGTCTGTATACGGAGTAAATATATCCCAGTTCATACGATATTTCAGGGCTTTGTCTCTCCTATCATGATTTCTTTGATAGAGGGTTGCTACTCACAAGGAAGCTATTAAACCAAGAGTGGTGAACTTAAAACATTCCTTCGTAAGTTTTACAGACGCCATCACGAGTTGGTTGACCATTATGGATTAGCTGTTTCACAGATGACAGCGGATATGTTCCAAATGTCGTAGCTACACTCCTGTCCCCTTCTCACGAATGTGACATACAGAATTAGACTTATTACGGAGTTTATACTAACACGAGAAACACAACGGGTTCCACATGTGAAGAAGGATATGCTTATCCTTCCGGAGCACCTTATTTTCAACTTATGAGTTTGAATGTCCCTTTGGTCATGTTGGTATCTTTCGCCTATCCTGTCTAAAACTAATTCATGAATGTTTTTAAACATCGACGATTCATTTGAAAGTGTAATTGCAGATAGGTACATTTTGATGTGAGTCCATTTGTACATATTGCAAATGCGTTTGATAGTTTGAGCATTCATCTTCCATAAACTCATAATTTTCATTTAATTGATTTTTAAGGACACTATGTGTTATATACAAAATCCCTTTTTAGTGTTCCAGTCATACACTTAGAATATTACTTACATCAGATAGTTACAAGGAAATCTAAAAGCCATCAAACCACATACATAAGAGGAAGACATCAAGCCATTAACACAGTGTTTTTATCGATCTAACAATATTTATTTAACGTGCTCATTTATAACTTTTCTATGTGGTGTTTCGTTTCTCTTTATGGTTTCTACAGTTTTTCTTAGACTTATGATTCTGAACATTTATTGGTATATTCCGCCTTTTTATATATGAAAATGAATCTTCATTTTTTTGTGTGATCAAACGTAAGTTTAACAAACTACTTGGGTCAACAAATCTGTTACCTATGTGCATTTTATTTTAAAAGTTAGTAAGGTAAGATCATTAAAATTTGGAAGGGTTGGTTGCTAGTTATAGGTAAGTACTAATAAAAAAGGCAATACGTCGTCATTTTAGTAGTTACGGAAAAAATGTTATCCTTGAACAATACAACACTTTTTTTTCAAATATTGATGAATATTTAAAAAAGAAACACTTTAGATGTTATGTTCTTCAAAACAGAATATTTTGTTTGAAATGATAAACGTGTTATTTAAATAGTTATAAAGCAAAAGGTACATAAATAAAACAGTATATCAATCAATGATTTGATACATGACGCTGTCTAAAACTGTTCTAGCTAGTGAGCTTTTGGACTTAATTGTAAGAAAGAACTTTCCAACTTGGTTCTTAGATATCTTAAGAGACATTAGGATTATAGTTTTGTATTGCAAACGCGCATATCGTTTCATAAGACTCCTTGTTAGTATCTGAGTAACAATTTTTTGTCAGCACAAGAAAAGAGCCTACAGGACTGGTGATTACATGCAATAACGACTAATAGTAGTGCCAACGTCTCAGTGTTTGTTAAGCTTGTCACAAAAACCGGCCTTATATTTTTGATACGCCAGACTCGTAGAGAACTATCAGAATCTGTTTAAAAGTAAAATTGCCAAAAACTATACTAGGATAGAACTTCTAGAATATTCTTTAGAGTAGCTTCGGTCAGAAAATGTTTTAAACGTGTAAGAAGAACTAATATATGATTGAAAATAAATCATCAACACTGCATGATTTATAAACATTAAGGTTAATTTAAGATGAAAATGACTTTTTATATGCAATGACTAGAGATGTACACACTGATGGACAGAATCAAAACAGTTAGAACAGATAAAAGACATCTGATCTTAAAGTCAACATTAAGAACTCAAACTATTACAAATGTTTTGCTGTACTTTATTGATTGTTTGAGATATATTTCAATGTCAGTCATTCAAAAAAAATTGAAGAAAACATATACCATAACCATTTGAAATCTCCCATCGAGACAAAATTCTTCAAATAACAATAAATACCTGATATATTACATGAGAGCATCATATTACTTATTTTGAAAATCACCCGTCTTCGCTTATAATTAAAACAAAATAGTCATGTTTCAAATAATGAAAATTATACTTCCAAAAGGAACGCTCAAAACAAATGAAATCCAACGATTAACAAGAAGATGAAAAAACACATTATAAAATTCATGCGTTCGAGGCGCTTTTCTGGGTTAACCATTATCATGACGGAATGCACATATAAATACTGTTTTTGTTGAAATTAAGTGTAACACCATATTCATTATAGTATATGAAAACTTGTTTTCAATTGTCACTATGCCTAACAATTCTCATATTCAATATCACATAAATAACACCATTTAAATATTTCAGACTTGTTTTTAGTCTTGGTTTATTAAAATCTTTTAGTTCGTGTTATCCGATTCATTTGATAGAAATACTAGGACGACAGGGAGGCAACGAGACGAGAAGCAATTAGAATGATGCACAGTCAGACCTACTTTAGTCAAACATTCCTTTCACAAAAAAGATGCATACTCATGGGGACTAACTGTGCACCACTTATTGCGGACCTGCTTCTGTATTGTTATGAGTTATAATTTAGGACTAAAATCAGCAAAGACCAATCGAAACAACATCTGATTAAAAAATCAAATAACACTTTTACATAATTGAATGGTATATTGGCTCTCAATAATGACGACTTCAGTATGTACACTAAAAAGATTTATCCTTCCGAACTGACTTTAAATAAAGCTAA